ACGGCCACACAGCCTGGAAGACCCACACCAGCCATCGTATGCTGGCCGTGAAAGCCTTCGAATTTCATTTTATTATGCACTTGGTGTATCGTGGAATGACAATAAAGTTGTTATTCTATTCTATAAAGGTAGTTGCAAAGAATATAGTCAAAGGGAGAACAGCATTTTTTAAAAGCAGAGAAAATAAAGTGACTTCGATGAATGTGTATACATTCATATTCAGAGTGGGCGAAAAGGACCGAAAAAGTAGCCTCCCTTAGAATTAATGGAGTTAAAAATATAACTGATGAGATGATTTAGAACAAACTGAAGTGAGATAATGTAGGAAACAGTATGGGAATGGCAGCAATATGTAGAAGAGTAGAATTGAAACAAATTCTATAAATGTCAGGGCCCAAGGGAAAAAGTCCCAAATAGGAAGTCATAAATACTGTGAGAATGTTAAAAAATAGTACAACTGTAGGATTAGATGGCAACACTTGAGAAATGTTAAAAAGTAGTGTAGTCTGCATATGAAGTTGGCTGGGGATGGCTATTATCTAGCCAGTTCATTCTGGTTTGTGACAACTGATTGTTAAATTACAATCATATTTTTTCCCCTTTTTCTGCCTGGAAAAGCTATCTTATCAGGTGGGGTGGAAAGGAAACCCTGGAGTGTGTCAGATAGGGCTTGAGGTTGTATGCATAGGCAAATCCAGAGGCCTGACAGGATCACACTCCGGGCTTTGTAGGCATCCAGGTTCTCCAGTCAAAGTGGGGAAAAAAATGTAAGTTTGCATTTTAGCTCCAATTGTATTGAAAATATTAGGACTTCAGTGCCTAAACGAATTCCTTTTAAATAAAATTGATACACATAATTGTGTTTATAGATCAATATTCCTCCCAGATTTATTATTTATTTATTTATTTACATCAACCCATCTCTAAGCAGAAGTATGGTGAGTGATTTTTAAGATTGCAACTTATTAAGATTGCAACTGGTGCTTCTTAACTAATAAAGCCTTTAAGATTGTTCTACTTACCCATTTATATCAGCAATATTAAAAAGAGGGAAATTAAATTAAAAAGCAAATTCTAATTACTCATGCTTTCACCATTCATACTCAAGAGGGATATTAAGCCAAGTCTTCTGTTCTTGGAGTAAACCAACCAAGAACATATTTTCTAATCTTTTATTATCAAGAAATGCACCAGCTCAAAAGGAATTCATTATATTAAAGAATTTTTCATCTTACTTTCCAAAAGCACTATATTTTTCAAGGGTTTCAATTTATTTTTAGTTAAATGCATTATTTAGAGCAGATTCCTGACTTTGTGGTATCAAGGTAAACAGAAAGGCCAGCCCTATTTGAAATCTTAGTGGCTTCAAGGTACCACAAAGTTGGAGGACTTCTGTCTTATTAGGATTGTTGTGACTTGCTATGAGTTTTTTTATCTTTGTTGAAATAATATAGCTTTTTTATTCTTTCCAAACAAATATAAGACTGGAAAGGAATTATGCAACGTTGCTCAGGACTCTGCCTCTCCAGAAACTGGAACAGAATAGGACCACATTTGTGGAGAGAGAAGCTAGCAAAAGCAAGACTGAGCTTGAAAACAGGATGGGTCTGGGGGTTGTGGGAAAAACAGTTCCAGGAAAACAAAACAAAAGAAAACAAAAATGCATCCTGGGAGGGGCAGTTGGGTAGTGGCCCAGAATGCTGCTAATTGCTCCATTCTAAGCCACCCTTCCTTCTGGTCACATGACCCAGAGCAGAACAAATGCAGTCTTATCTTTTCCAGTTCACACATCCACATAAACACAGAGATGCAACATGAAGGGTGAGCTGAAGTACACACACACACACACACAACACAGAAGCATCATGCATCCATCCTAGTTAGGCTTTCCCAGACACTCAGATACACACATAGGTACAAACACAGACATACTGCACATCCTGATAAGTTCCTGGGGAGAAAGTGTGCACACACACAAACATAGAACATGTTACTTTGTAACACCGCAGAAAATGCAGATGTTTCCAGTGACCACTGCTGGAAAAGGGAGGAGTCATGTCCTATGTGCAACGCGCCTACCCGAAAGGTTGGGGGTGCGTGTGTGAGGTGTCAGGCTGATGAAAGCTGAAATAATAGATTTATTAATGATTTAATTGTTTACGATGACTTGAATATATATGTAGGATTATAGGAGTTCAGTTCATAAGAGATGAATACTTCTAAGAATCGTTTGCTTCTTTTTTGCTTCACTTCTTTTGGGAAACTAAACGAATAGGAGGGACATTTATCAGGCTAGAGCAGAGCCCTGTAAGAATGCAAGATCGCCCTCCCTCTCCCATCAAGGCTTGGAAGGCTGGAAGTCAGACTTGGGGACTCCTGTTGCCAAGCCCTCTTTCTCTCTCAAAAGGAAACCTCTGATTTATCTCCTTACCGCTGTACTTGATTACACGAATGGTTGCATCTCCATCTCCAAAAATAGTGACTGGTGTCAGGCGAACTTCATAAGCCTCAGGCTTGATGAGTTCTGTCAAGTTGTAGGTAATTAATTCTCCTTTCTGGATCTTCCCATTCACAGTAATTTCCTGCTCCCACCAGCGCTGCTGTCCAGCCTAGAAGCAGACACAGGAAAGCAGGAGTTGGTAACTTTTGCAGGAGACCCACGCCATCATGCAAACTCATACAATGACATGCGACAATAAGCAAACATAAATATAGTTGAAATCATCTGTTCTTATAAGATTTTGATGACCTTATTTTTGAGAACGCATATAAGACCACTGAAATCTCAGGAGATTTTGCCCTTTCAGTTTAATTTTTTTTTCAATCAGGGATGTACAGATGCTATTTATGTTACTGGGGAATATGGTGCCGTAAACCTCATGGTTTATGAATAAGCTACAATTGACTGGGTTCATACTAATCCAAAAATTAACCTATATTATGCTTTATCATTTTTATTTTGTTGTGAACCAGGCCAATATCCACTGGTGTTCCACATGCACAGGAAAGGTTGAATGCCTTTCTGAAGAACCATGTTTAAATAGCTGTCTAAGAATGTTGTAAGGAGAAGGTGGCGAAAACCCTACATTCTTGAAGATGGAGTTTCACCAAGATACGGTGGGCTCTCCTTTCCTGAATGTAGCCGAGGTTAGGCAGCTCTTTGTTGGAGATGCTTAATCTGGTTCTTGCCTGCATCTTATGAGTCCTTCTATTTTTTATTCCTTCATAGGTAAGTGAATTTGTAGGATATTAAATAATTTTTTCTGGCAGGGTCATTTTGGTACGAATATATTAACACCTCAGAGAATATTTAATAAAGGTTGGTTGCAAATAACTGGTGCCGGAAATGCAATTCAGGAGTTCATTAACTCGCATGGCCTGGACTTGTCCTATTATTCACCACAAATTCAGCTGAAATCCACAGGACTGTTAACAAGGTTTTAAAACAATTTTTCTGGGTTAAGGGTGTCTATTTTCTAACAGACTGTGCGCTTGGGATCCAAAACTTATCAAGACTTCAAGAATTGTGAACTTTTGCACATGGGTGATGGCAAAAGACATTAGTCCACAACCCCAATAGGATAAATCTGCACCTGATTTGCAGCAATGGACTGTTGTAAAAATATGATCTAGGCTTTTTACAAGAAAGGGAGAAGAAAGAAAACTTGGAGTAATTTGATCAAATCTCTTCCAACTGTTTTCCAGATCTTTTTTTTTCCCCTTTACAATTCTGAAGTTATATCATAGTTAACGTTGTAATATGCATGCTTTTTGTATGATGCACCCCCTTCCAAGGCATCATTTTGTATAAGGCATACTTTGCAATATACATTTTATTTAACATGATATATTCATTTCTCTAAGAGTGGTGCCTTAGAAAAAGACATACTTCCAAAGAGTTTAATTAGGAATGTAATCTTTTTCAGGTTGTGGGTCATGCTTGGCCTTTCAGTGGTGCACCATGGTTAACTATCCAAAACTGGGGAAACCAAGACAAAGAAGTGGACTGGGTCAAAACAAAAATGTAATTTTAATGTAATCTAATGGATGCAATTAAAATTAACTAAATAAAATTACTCCCAATGTACTTAATATTTATCCCCTTCTGCCACATTCAATGATAGCACGCTAGCAACTTTTGAAAGCCTCCGATTGTGATTCTTCTCTGTGCTTATTAGCCTAAAATATCACAGAATTGGTCACACAGCGACTGCTAGGGCTGTGCAAACTATGTTCAGGACCACTTCATCAAAGCACCCCTGAGCACCTATTGCTCAGAGTGGCAAGGTGTCCGCTTTGAAGGGTTAGGGTGGTTACTCTGAAACTCTTCTCTGATCGTCTGAGCTTGTGTGTGCATGCACAGAGCATACTTCTGTTGAGACTGTTACTTTACAAAGCGTCTCTCCGCTTGTTTTGCCCTAGTAGTTACTGCTCCAGTTAAATAAGAACATGGCTATACACGTGGCAATCTCATGCTGGATGAAAAGTGAAATCAGACAGGAAAAAATAAGTGATGAGAGACAAAAGGAGTGGCAGAGACTTGAAATGCATTCAGCTCAACTGCTGTTATTACAAATGAAGGATAAGTGCCCTTAGCTATTTAAAAACATGGCCTTTTGTTCAAAGGCTGTCCCATGGAGCAAGGAGCTTCCAAAAGGCACACACAGTTCATCACAAAGGGATCATGTTTATTTATATCCCTGTGGTACCCAGGAAACCCATTAACATATAATCTGCTCATTGTCGCTAAGAACAAACCATTGAAGGCATGTATAACAAAGAGCAGAGATGCCCATTTCAGTAACAGTTGGATGAAAAATTGCATCAAGAGAAAGTGCATTTTCATAGGCAACTTTCATTTGTCCTTAGCAGGGAGTGCATGTTTCATAGGGATGAATCCTTTTCATTTTCCATTTGAATTTCAAACAAGTTTACCTAGTTCACATTTGCCAATAGGCATGCTGAAATCAGCCCTTTCAAAATTAGATGATACAACTCATGTTTTTTTAAAGAAATTGCACGGAGGATAAACACAGTTGTAGAAAAATCTGGATATTATAGCAAAATATGAATAAAAATAGCTTATAGAAGAATAAAGCTTCTTGAACAAAATATACTACTATTATGTACCAAAATGGTTGCTACAGTTGGAGAACTGTATATAAAGTGGTATATGAGTGGTTATTCAGACTTCTGGGTTGACTGACTTCATGTGAAAATGAAGCCAAAACAAGCTTTAAGCCATAAAAATGAGATTCAAAATTGGCAAAAATTAACCCATCCCTAATATTTCTCCATGATTAGTTGGATTAATTTAATAAAAAATGGTGGCATCTCATGCTGTAAAAAAAATAATGGGATATTTTCCTAAAGGCAAAGTGAATATTTTCAAAGCTCATATTCAAAGCTATGATACAAGAGTGAATGGCCTCCTGCAGAATTTTTTCCCCTCAGGCTTAGACATAAGTAGATGGTCTATGTGTTCAAGACTACAGGTAGACCCCAGTTTAAGATTGAGTTCCGTTCCCAAGGTCTGTCTTTAAGTTGAATTTGTACATAAGTTGGAACAATATTAGTGTATAATACTGTATAAATAGAATTGTGTAATTAACTTGAAGCATTGTGTATTTAACTCAGATTGTTGTGCATTTAACTTGAATTTTGCTACAACTGGTTCCATTTTTAACTATGGGTTGTCCGTAAACTGGGTGTTCTTAACCTGGGGCTACCTGTACTGCATTCTAGATTAGTGGAGAAAATTCACATAATGAATTTTATTGTCAGCCCTTTGAAACAGGCAGTTCAGGAGTGCTCTTTATTGTTGTAGGTTATTATTTATTTATTTATCATATTAATATAGCTGCCCATCTCACACAAGGTGACTCTGGGCAGCGTACAACAATTAAAAAATAAACACATAAAAACAGTTACACGTAAAAAACTGTAAAAG